GGAGGAAAAGATCAGGCAGAGGATTGGATCGTGAAGCACAAAGTTATTATCTCAGGCTGGTAAGGAAGTTTTATTGAAAAGTGTGGCTCAATCTATGCCAACTTTTTCAATGAGTGTTTTTTTGTTGCCTGAAACAGTTTGTCAATCCATTGAGAGAGCCAGAATAGATACTGGTGGGGAAGTGGCAGAGATAAGGGGATTCACTGGAAGGCATGGGATAAGTTATGTATCCCCAAGAAGTTTGGTGGTTTGGGTTTCAAGGAATTGAGGGCTTTTAATCTAGCTATGCTGGGCAAGCAGGCATGGCGTTTTTTGACAAACCCAGAGTCTCTGGTGCCAAGAATATATAAAGTCAGGTATTACCCCACTTCTAGTTTTGTTGATACTACTATTGGTAATTGCCCAAGTTTTTGTTGGAGAAGTATAATGGCAGCACATCCAATAGTGGTAGCTAGAATAAGACGCAGGATTGGAAATGGTGAGACAACTCTTATTTGGGGACACCCATGGCTACAGGATAATCCAAGTCCCTTTGTACAAACAATTATGCCTAAGGAGTTAAGAGAGACACGAGTAGCAGGTTTGATTGACCCACAAACACAAACATGGGATCCACATATTTTATCTGATTTATTTATCCCTGAGGATGTGAGCAGAATAGTTATGATTCCTGTTAGCCCTGATTATGATGACTCATGGTACTGGATAGGTGACCCAAAAGGAATTTATTCAGTAAAGAATGCTTACAGGCGTATTGTTGGTGATTATGAGAATAACCCAGGTGATTTTGATAAATGGGTTAAGATGTGGAAATTGAAAGTACCACCAAAATGGAAGACTTTTTTATGGAGAGCAGTATGTGATATTTTACCCACTACCACGAATCTAATTAATAAGAGGGTGGAGATTGACCCGACATGTCCTATGTGCAGATTTAATAATGAAGATGTGTTGCATGCATTAGTTTATTGTGAATATTCTGCATTAGTTTGGAATATAACACAATTACCTATCACGAATATTAATACAGATTCGTTTGCAGCATGGTTAACTGGGGCTATGACGATTCTAACCGAGGAACAAACACAGCTTTTGGTGGGAGTTCTATACAATATTTGGAGAAGCCGCAATGCAGCCGTGTGGGAAGGGGCCATGTCACGGCCGCAGGCTGTTGTGAAGGGGGCGGCAACATTGCTGAAAGCCTCTGGTGCGGTACACGGCCGTTTCACGCGAGAAGATGTACAGCCACATTCCGAACCAGTGTTGTCCAACAATCACATGCGATGCTATATAGATGCGAGGTATCGGCAGGAAACCGAGGAGGCTACGTATGGAATTGTGTTATTAAAGCCCGGTGGCTCGTTTGTGGCAGCTAAGAATAGCAGATCACCCGTTTGTTTTTCACCACTCATGGCGGAGGCTATGGCTTTTAAAGAGGCACTATCCTGGTTAGTTGAAAGGAGTATTAATTCGGCCAATCTGCTCACGGATTATATGGTTCTGCGATCCACCATACATGACCAAATTACACCCATTCACTCGTATGCTGGGTTGATAATTGACCAGTGCAAGACAATGATGTCTTTATTTAATTTTATTTTGTTAAGCTATGTGCCTAGACAGATTAATTTACATGCTCATACTTTAGCTTCGTTAGCTTTTACTCAGGAACATTCTATGTATTGGGATTCTATCCCTCCTGACGCTATTATAGCTTTCATCAATTAATAAAATCGACAGATTGATTTTTCAAAAAAAAAGTCTATATAAAACTTTTCAAGTGTTTGAATCTTATTTGATCTTTTTTCTAAATTATTTTTTTTTGAAGATATCTTTTTCTAAATTATTATTAAGTTAAATTATCTAAAAATTTACATATTCACATATATGTATGTGCTTGAATTTTACATAGTGATGGTATATTGAAAAAAGAAAAGGTAAACTTAACAAGAAATTATAAAAATACAACATAAAAACTCAAAAAGTACGAAAGAAAAAAAAAACACTATAGTACTAATAAATTATTGTTAAGGACTAATGTTTAAAAATAAGTTCAAGAAAAGTATAAAGATTTGCCAAGCAGATTGTTCTCAGATCATAGTGACTCTCTCATATGGGAGGTCATGAGATCGAGTCTTAGTGGAGGCAGTGTTAACTCTTTGTGCTTCAATAGGTTGAGAATATATACTACAATGTAATAGTGTCAGTAGTATTCAAATATACGTTAACTTTCTCATTAAATATTATTTTTTCCGTTAAAAAACAACACATCATTTTAGGAGTTTTTGAAAAGTTTTTATTATAAATATTGTTAAGGTTATGATGCACAGATAGTGAGATAGGCCTATTACGCAAATAATGTCGTGCAACCGTGTGCACCATGCATGGTGCACATGATTGCAAAACAGCGTCTTTTTTATTAAAAATGACGCTGACCGACTTTAAAAAAAAAAATCATTGTCGATTGTCATTAACGGCGTTATGCTATGCATAATTTGAACTATATAACCAGAATTAATGAACTATATATCCAGAATTAGTGAACTATATATACACGCCGGTTACTAGTACTCTGTGTTGGCTTATGGCAATTCGCTGCGTCTGTGTATTCAAAATGAATAAATTATATATTCAGAATTAATGAACTATAAACTCAGAATTAGTGTACTATATATCCAGAATTAATAAAATATATATCCATACTTAATGAATTATATATCCAGAATTAGTAAACTATATATCCAAAATTAGTGAACTATATATCCACATCCAGAATTAATGAACTACATATCCATAATTTCAAAAAAAAAAACTACATATCCATAGTTAATGAACTATATATCTAGAATTAGTGAACTATATATCTATACGTAATGAACTATATATCCAGAATTAATGAACTATATATCCACATCCAGAATTAATGAACTACAAATCCATAATTAATGAACTATATATCCAAAATTAGTGAATTATATATTCAGAATTATTGAACTATATATCTAAAATTACTGAACTATATATCCACACCGGTTACTGGTAGTGCGTATTCAAAATGAATGAACTGTATATTCATATTGATGGAGTTTAAAAAAAAAAAAAAAAAACTGATTGGTGGAGTTAAACGGCACCGTTACTCCACCAAAGTCAAACAGCGTCGTTCGCAACCATGTGCACCATACATGGTGTACAAGTTGCACATTATAACGATTCGGCCTACTAACCCTCGGCCTAATGGCCAAAGTTGAACCTTAAACATAAAAGGGTTCCATAGTTGTAAGTCATAACAGGGTTCCATAGTTGTAAGTCATAACATTCTCCTAATTTTTATGACGCAAGAAGATAATACAACTACAATAACGATTATTCTTCATATCTTATTATTTTTCAATTATTATTATTATTTTGATCTCTAGACTTAATTCCAACAAATTAAATATATACAAACTCATTGTATATATATTAAAAAAAAAAAAAAAAAAAACCAGCGGGTCAAGAAACTCCATTCTACCATGAGTGGCTATACATCTCCTATCATGTTTCTATAATATTATTTGTATAAACAAATTGCCGTTGTAATATGCAGATTGCTGGCACCCCTCAAACTCAGCCTTCTACCAGAATCTCCTAAAATTATATTAATATGTACTTAATATCTTATGCCCTAATCTTTATTTGCTCTCTCATATCTCATATTTAATTTCAACCATACCCATACAATTATATTATTAACAATTATAATCAATGTTAACTATATTATCTTGCATTTGTAAACTTAAAATTGTCTATTTTAATAGGCAAATTCAACATTTAATTATCAATGCATAAACTCCAATATAATCTTGCCTTGATATACTTATTTAAAAATAAATATTGAGCATTATCTCAATCGTGTAATGCGCGTGAAAACAACTAATACAACACAAAAAAGGAAGGAACAAACAAACAAGCACTTTGATACAATTAATACAAAGTTCATCCTAATTAAAGACAAATATTATTAACTCTTGTTAAATTTTAGTAATAAAGATTAATTATTTAGCCTGTAATAAGATGGTAAAAATGTCTGCAATAGTATGCTCATAATATTCCACAACAGAGCATTTGTTAACGTTAACAATATTTTACAAGCGAGAAAAAGAAATAATTTTTATTCAATTGTATGATCTAACAATAAGAATTTAAAAACTTAAATTAAATGCCGCCTAGCTTTCCCCTCCTCCTTTATCCGGGCTTGGGACCGACTGCTTTCACAGGCGGAGTTAAAAAGCAAAACCAAATTAACACTAAAAACAACAGAACCAATTAGCATGCATCTCCAGCTTATACAAAATAGTACTAACATAAAGTAATGTAAACCTTACCAAATTCAACATTCATGAATTAAAATTTACAGACCGTAAAAACATTTAACAGTTGAAAAAAAAAACCTGAGGGACTTTTTCTTCTTTACTTATAATAAATTGATATTGTTTAAAAGCTTGCTTCAATTTTTTCTTTTTTTCTTTTGAAATGTAACAGTAAAATACTTTTCGAATATTTGCTTCTAAAAAGTGATCAAAATCAGGTATGGATAAACATAAAGACGCTATAAAAATTGAAAATAAAAAGTGAAAGTATTAATATTAATAATAAAATAACTGAGACTGAATAAAATTTAAAGAGTAAAAAAAACATTTTTAGTGAACTATGGAGTCGCCTCTAAATCCAGATTTCAAATGAGAAAATATTTATTTATCCGAAAGGACCACAATCAACAACCAAAGCACTCAAATAAACTGTAATAAAAGCAACCTATGTGTGTGACATGTCATTTAACACTAAAACAAAAAGATCTTCCACTATTACTAAACGTGAAATTCAGACAAATATTCACTTACAAGTCTGCAAGATAACTCAAATTATGAACCAACAAAAGAGTAACAGAGTGCAAGACTAAGCATGAAAAACATATTACTAATAAAAAGTTCAGAAATGCTTTCTGATTCCCATATAAATATCAAACAAAATGGTGAGAACTGAGGAGCAAAAATATATACAATTTATTTCATCATGTGAGAAAAACTACAAAAGCTTAAAAGAGCAGCTTAGCACCAGAAGCAGAGTTGTGAACAAAACTAGCAAGCATCACATGGCTCTTTCATGAACCACCCAAAATGAATATTCAATGACCCCATGGAAGTGACTAGACATATTACCCAGTAAGGAAGATTTAACTACTTGGGTGCATTACCCCAAATCAATGAATTTTTCTAAAACACTAGAAAAAACATCTTAACAAGGAGATGTCAATAAAGTTGCGCTATATTTGAACTTCGAAGATAAGCAAAAGAATCCTTCACAAAAGAGAAATCATCCTCTAAAAGCAGTCCAGGTAGGATGGGGTAAGAACAACCCCTTCTAGTAGACATGAAAGGGTCTATATCTTTGATGTTTCTTTCAAAAATCAATGAAATTTTTCAAGTTCTCTTTACGAGCATCTTCACAAGGAGAAATCATAAACAACTTAAAGCTTGTTGATAGGCAATCATCAATTAACTAAAGCTATCTTCGTACTTCAAATTATCAGGGAAGGCAGTCTTCACAAAGGCGAAATTTTTCTCTAGAAACCAGTCTTCAAATAGGAGGGCAGAGAACAAGTGAAAAAAATCCACAGAAGTGCCAACATGCTGTACAAAAAACCACTCCTAAGTAAAGAACTTAATCAGTACACACTACAATCCATTGTCAGCAGTAAAGAAAAGGTTCCCCCATCAACTCAAATGGCACAGAGTACTCAATTCAGATGCCAGAAAGAATATCCACTGCTAAATCCTGCGTATTTTACCCAAGTGCAATGACAAATCTCACAGATCAATTAAGAATACTCAAATGGTTGGAAAGAAAGAAATCAGTTGCCAGCAGCATATCTACCACAAGTATTGAGCAAAAAGGCACATACGTGTTCCCAATAACAAGCTTCAGACAAAGTACAGGCAAGAAGACACATTAATCATCAGTAACTATTAAACACCCAGTAGTTGGTTACTCTGTATATGAATTGTCTCCAGACATTGTAAGTGGCAAATTAATCATGAGACTCAAAGAAACAAGGGTTGACAATCTAAGGAAAATTTTACCTCAATAACATGCATAGTAGAAATTAATTACTGGACTAGCACCCGGTAGGTCATAAATCAAATCGGACATCCTCCAGAGGCAGGCAGCATATTACCAAAGATGTCTCAGATGAAACCAGAATTTAGCATTCCATAAACATCAATAACATGGCAATAAAATAAAATCCCAATACTAAGTGTCCAATGAGATTAAATTCCTTGAAGGGGGATTATGTCAAACCTACTCTTTGTTAGAGGTTCCTTGGTGAACAAACTACATCACATAATAGAGACAGGGAAATGCCTTACAGGAAAGAGCTCCTCCGTGGATTCAGATGCTAAAAAGAAAGGACATCTAATCAACCAATTTAGATGCTAGAAATAAAGATACATCTCCATGTTCTTCACAAGCTGTAACTGAAAAAGTTGTTCATCAGCTCAAATTACAACCCTATTGTCAAAGAACACAGTAACAGGAAAGGATCCCTCAACTCAGATAACGAATTCAGATGCCACAAAGAGCATCCATTGCTAACTCCAGTATATTTACCCAAAGTATTGGGAGAAGAAAAAACCACATATGAAGTATACCAGGATTGATTCATGTTCAATAATCCAAACTCAGCATGCACAATATACTTCCAATACAGGCAAGAGGTTGTGTTAATCATCAGAGTCACAATTTAACTCCAGTAGTCAGTTTCTCCGTATAAGGAGCAATATAAGTGGCAAAATTAATCACGAGACTCAACAAAGAATGAAACAAAGGTAATCTAAGGAAATAATTTCTCAATAGGATGGATGCATAGAAATAAACAACTGGACTCGAGCACCAAGTAGGTCAAACTCAAATAGGACATCCATTGTTCCTTCAGGAGGCCATTACCAAAGGATGTGTCAAACCGACTAGACTTTAGCAGCCATAAACCTCAATAACATGGCAACAAAATAAAATCACAAAAACTTGGAAGTAGTTAGATTCCTGGAAGTGGGATATGTCAAACCTACCCTTCACTGGAAGTTCCTTGCTCAATACCCTAAGACCACACAATAGAAACAGTGAACCATCTATAAAAACCAAGAATTAATACTTAAAATTTTCCTTACTCTTGAAGGCCCTCATCCATCATGTACTCCAAGCTAGAGCAAACCTAGAAGCATGCAAAGAACTGAGAATCCTATATAATTCATCCTATATAATATTAAATTCATATGTAATTATAGAAAAATACCTATTAGTGGGGTGGGGAAACAAGAAAAATGTTCACATAAAAGAAAGGAGAAATTTTAGGGAACTGAAAACATCGAAAAATTCAACAATCCAAGCATGAAAGAGAACATAGAGTATTAACCAAACTTATCGGATAAATATTTTTCCAGATAGAATGTTGTAATGATGACAATTAGAAGACTATCATGGCTGATCTCAGTGGCACCCTCTGGGCTCTAGCTCATATCCCTAGGTTAGACCTCTTGCTAACCTATGAGCCACAATATTACAAAATTCATCAAAACTGGGGAGAAGGAGGAAGAATGAGAGCATTGAAAAATCAGTAAAGAAGCTTGACAAAAGACTTCCGAACCGAACAGGTCAATAGCCCCTGGCAATTAACTGTGCACCCCCAAAGTTGAACTAGACCTCGGAAGAACATAAAGAGAGAAAAGAACCTGATCATTAATCATTAATATTGTAAAAGAAAAAATATATTTAAATACAAATGAACTGATTATTTGATTGATAAGAGATAACCAGGCATTGATGCATCAAACTGAACTCATTGGATTAATAAGGCAGGGCACTAATGAATCATCATACGACTATATGCCACCTCTAGGAATTATGTTAATCAACCAATATCTTCGAATAAAGCTAGAAAAAACATCAGGAGCAAACAAACCCCAAAACAGTAGTAAACAAATGCTAATGTCTACTAGTGAAGGGGAAAGGGCAAAGCACAGAAAAAGGAATAATTAACCACAACCAAACTAAAATTTTCATGAATGGAATATGTCCAGAACTGACCCGTCTAACACAATACATCCAGACCTGCAAAGATGCAGAAGAATAAATATAAGGGAAGATGCGATATACATATCTATAGTAAAAGAGTGGAGAAAATTTGGGAAATCACGATAAAAAAACTCATGGATAAAATTTTTAGAAGGAATAAAACCAAGCTTGATAAGGCACTAATGATCACCATGGGACTGACTGGGCTGATGGAACTTCTTAGCATAGGTTAATGAACCCCAATATTGGATCAAACCTTAAAAAAAAACAGCCTATTAAATGTCTACTAGTGAAGGGAAATCCGAAAGCTTGCCAAATGCCCAAACCGATCCACATAGTTCAACCAAGCTTGCTGATTAGTGATGAAGGAATAGGACCAAGCTTGTCAAGCCAATCCATATAGTTCAACCTGAAAGCTAGCTGCTGAAACCGAACCCGTGATCTGAACTACATCAAGTCATGACAAACAAAGCAACAATACATAATAGGAAAGAGATATTGAAAGCCATCGGTAAAAATAAACTCAAAATTGAGAATAGGATAACTGAACAAGTAATGATCAAACCAATCTATTCGCACAACTAAAACATTTCCAGAGCATTGAACTTGATACCAAATCCACGATCCGAGCTACATCAACATTACAAAGACATACATGCAGAGCATAAGTAACTGGAAATTGGCATCTTCAGCAACCGAAGAAGACATATACCAAAATTTTTAGAGAACCAAGCATAAGATAACCAAACATGTATTATCAAATTGATCCACATGTCACTCAACCAAAAGACATCCAAAAGCAGCAGCAGAAATTGAATCCACAATCCGAACTACATCAAGACATGACAGACATACCAACGATGAATAATCGTATCAATCAAACCGATCAATTACGTTCATTAGACCTCTTGCTAAACTGTGAGCCACAATATTACAAAATTCATCAAAGTTGGGAAGAACTAAGTGAAGCATTGAAAATCCAGATAAGTTTTGAGAAAACGCTTCCAAACCAAATAGGTCAATGACCCCCTGCTGCAGTCGATTGTGCACCCCCCAAGTTGAACTACACCTCAAAAGAACATCCAGTCCGAGCATTAATATGGCCAAAGGTACAAATATTTAACTGATTACTTGATGAATGAGAGATAACCGGGCATTGATGCATCAAACTGAACTTTGGACAAACAAGGCACGCCACTAATGATCATCAAATGACTGAATGGGGACTGGCTCTATATGCTGCCTGTAGAATTAGGTTAATCAGCCACACAATCTTGGATTAAACCTAGAAAGGACATCTAGCACAAAGAAACCCCAAAAAATTAAGAGTAAACAAACAATGATATATCCACTAGTGAAGTGAAGGAGAAAGGGAAAAAGCGCCCCCCCCAAAAAAAAAAAATAATAATAATAATAATAATAATAATAATAATAATAATAATAATAATAATTAAACCACAACCAAACCAAAATTTTCACAAATGGAAGATGTCCAGATCTGACCACACAATACATCTAGACCTGCAATTATGCAGAACAATAAATAGAAATGTGATTTTACTAAATTAATACATAGTAAAAGAGTGGATAAAATTTTGGAAATCACAACAAAAATTCGTGGACAAAATTTTAGAACGAATAGAACAAAGCTTGATAAAACCACTAATGATCATCACAGGGCTACTCTACATGGAATCTCATAGCATTGGATTAATGAACTCCCCACAAAATTAAATCTAATAACATACTAAATGTGTCTACTAGTGAAGGGAAATCCGAAAGCTTGCCAAACCGATCCACATCATTCAACCAAGCATACTGATGAGTGATGAAGGAATAAAAAACCAAGCTTGTCAAACCAATCCACGTTGTAAAACGCGAAAGCTTGCAGCTGGAACCAAATCCGTGATCCAAACTACATCAAGACATGACAGACAAACCAGCAATACGTAATCGGAAAGAGAAATTGAAAGCCACCGATCAATATAAACTCAATTTCCAGAAAACAAAGAATAGGATAATTGAACACTTAATGATCAAACCGATCTATTCGCTCAACTAGAACAGATCCAGAGCCTTGAACTTGATATCAAATCCACGATATGAGCTACATCAACATGACAAGACATACAAACGAGCATAAGTAACTGGAAATAGACATCTTCAGCAACCAATCAAGACATGCCAAAATTTATAGAGAACTGAGCATAAGATAACCAAACAAGTATTATCAAATTGATCCATGTCGTTCAACCAAAAGGCAAATTGGAAGATGTCCTGAATTGACCCTTCTAGCACAACACATCTAGACCTGCAATTATGCAGAAGAATAAATATAAAGGAAGAAATAAGATTTTACTAAATTAGGATTTTACTAAATTATATTATATATACAGTAAAAGAGTGGAGAAATTTTGGGAAATCAAAGCCAAAATTCAAGGAAAATTTTTTTTTTTGGAAGGAATAAAACCAAGCTTGACAAGGCCACTAATGATCATCATGGGACTGACTGGGCTGCTCTACATGGAACCTCTTAGCATTAGGTTAATGAACCTCAATATTGGATCAAACCTAGGAAGAATAACCAAAACATCAAAGAACTCCCCATAAAATTAAATCTAACCAAATATTAAATGTGTCTACTAGTGTAGGGAAATCCGAAAGCTTGCCAAACCGATCCACATCATTCAAGCAAGCATGCCGATGAGTGATGAAGGAATAGAAAACCAATATCACGCCGTTCGACCCGAAAGACTGCTGCAGAAACAAAATCCGTGATCCAAACTACATCAAGGCATGACAGACAAACCAATAATACATAATTGGAAGGAGAAATTGGAAGTCGCCGATCAATATAAACTTAAAATTTCCAGAAAACCAAGAATAGGATAACTGAACGCTTAATGATCAAACCAATATATTTGCTCAACTAGAACAGATCCGGAGCCTTGAACTTGATATCAAATCCACGATCTGAGCTACACCAACATGACAAGACATACAGACGAGCATAAGTAACTGGAAATAGTCATCTTCAGCAACCGATCAAGACGTATACAAAAATATATAGAGAACCGAGCACATGATAACCAAACGAGTATTATCAAATTGAATCATGTCGTTGTACCAAAAGGCATCCAAAAGCAGCAGGCTGAATTTGAATCCACAATCCAAACTACATCAAGTCATGACAGACATACAAACAATAAATAATCAGAAACAGAAATCTTAAGCAACCGATCAATATAAATGCAAACTTTCAAGAAAATCAAAAACTGTATCTTATCAATCAAACCAATCTATTTCATTCATTAGACCTCTTGCTAACCTGTGAACCACATATTACAAAATTCTTCAACATTGGGAAGAATTATGAGAATGAGAGCATTTAAGAATCAGAGAAGTTTGATAAAACACTTCCAAACCAAACAGGGCAATGACCCCTGCTGCAGACCTGCAGTCCATCATGCACCCCCTAAGTTGGACTAGGCCTCAAAAGAATATCAAGCCAGAAAAGAACCCAAGCATTAATATGGCCAAAGGTACAAATATTTAACTGACTATTTGATGAATGAGAGATAACCAGGCATTCATGCATCAAACTGATGTCTTGGATTAAACCTAGAAAGAACATCAAGAGCAAAGAAACCCAAAAAGTTAAAAGAGTATACAAACAATGATATGTCTACTCAACTAGTGAAGGGGAATGGGCAAAAGCACCCAAAAAAAAAACAAAACCAAACCAAAATTTTCACAATTGGAAGATGTCCAGAACTGACCCTTCTAACACAACACATCTAGACCTGCAATTATGCAGAAGAATAAATATAAAAGAAGAATTAGGATTTTACTAAATTATACATACAGAAAGAGTGAAGAAATTTTGGGAAATCAAGACCAAAATTCAAGGAAAATTTTGTTGGAAGGAAAAAAACCAAGCTTGACAAGGCCACTAATGATCATCATGGGACTGACTGGGCTGCTCTACATGGAACCTCTTAGCATTAGGTTAATGAATCCCAATATTGGATCAAACCTAGGAAGAATAACCAAAACAGCAAAGAACAACCCCCAAATATATGTCTAATCAAATATTAAATGAGTCTACTAATGAAGGGAAATTCAAAGGCCTGCCAAACCGATCCATGTTGTTCAACCAAAAATTCAACAATGCAAGCATGAAAGAGAACATAGAGTATTAACTAAACTTTTGGATAAATATTTTTCCAGATAGAATGTTGTAATGATGATGATTAGAAGACTATCATGGCTGATCTCAGTGGCACCCTCGGGCTCTAGCTCATATCCCTAGGTTAGACCGACCTTTTGCTAACCTATGAGCCACAATATTACAAAATTCATCAAAATTGGGGAGAATGAGGAAGAATGAGACCATTGAAAAATCAGTAAAGAAGCTTGACGAAAGACTTCCAAACCGAACAGGTCAATAACACTTGGCAATTAATTGTGCACAACTAAAACATATCCAGAGCCTTGAACTTGATACCAAATCCACGATCTGAGGTACATCAACATTACAAGACATACATACAGAGCATAAGTAACTGGAAATGGGCATCTACAGCAACCGATCAAGACATATACCAAAATTTATAGAGAACAAAGCATAAGGATAACCAAACACGTATTATCAAATCAATCCACATGTCAGCCTATATGACTGAATGGGGACTGGCTCTATATGCTGCCTCTAGGAATTAGGTTAATCAGCCACACAATCTTGGATTAAACCTAGAAAGGACATCAAGCACAAAGAAACCCAGAAAAATTAAGAGTAAACAAACAACGATATATCCACTAGTGAAGGAGAAAGGGAAAAAGCACCCCAAAATAATAATAATAATAATAATAATTAAACCACAACCAAACCAAAATTTTCACAAATGGAAGATGTCCAGATCTGACCACACAATACATCTATACCTGCAATTATGCAGAACAATAAATAGAAATGTGATTTTACTAAATTAATACATAGTAAAAGAATGGATAAAATTTTGGAAATCACAACCAAAAATTTCGTGGACAAAATTTTAGAAGGAATAGTACCAAGCTTGATAAAACCACTAATGATCATCACAGGGCTGCTCTACATGGCACCTCTTAGCATTGGATTAATGAACTCCCCACAAAATTAAATCTAATAAAATATTAAATGTGTCTACTAGTGAAGGGAAATCCGAAAGCTTGCCAAACCAATCCACATCATTCAATCAAGCATGCTGATGAGTGATGAAGGAATAAAACCAAGCTTGTCAAACCAATCCACGTTGTCCAACATGAAAGCTTGCTGCTGAAACCAAATCTGTGATCCAAACTACATCAAGACATGACAGACAAACCAGCAATACATAATCGGAAAGAGAAATTAAATGTGTCTACTAGTGAAGGGAAATCCGAAAGCTTTGCCAAACCGATCCACATCATTCAACCAAGCATGCTGATGAGTGATGAAGGAATAAAACCAAGCTTGTCAAACCAATCCACGTTGTTCAACACGAAAGCTTGCAACTGAAACCAAATCAGTGATCCAAATTACATCAAGACATGACAGACAAACCAGCAATACATAATCAGAAAGAGAAATTGAAAGCCACCAATCAATATGAACTCAATTTCCAGAAATCCAAGAATAGGATAATTGAACGCTTAATGATCAAACCGATCTATTCGCTCAACTAGAACAGATCCAGAGCCTTGAACTGGATATCAAATCCACGATATGAGCTACATCAACATGACAAGACATACAGACGAGCATAAGTAACTGGAAATAGACATCCTCAGCAACCGATCAAGACATATACCAAAATTTATAGAGAACTGATAATAAGATAACCAAACAAGTATTATCAATTTGATCCATGTCATTCAACCAAAAGGCATCCAAAAGCAGCAGCTGAATTCGAATCCACGATCGAAACTACATCAAGTCATGACAGACATACAAACAATAAATAATCAGAAACAGAAATCTTACGCAAACGATCAATATAAATGCAAACTTTCAAGAAAATCAAGCATAGGATAACTGTATCTTATCAATCAAACCACTCTATTTCATTTGTTAGACCTCTTGCTAACCTGTGAGCCACATATTACAAAATTCATCAACTTTGGGAAGAATTATGAGAATGAGAGCATTGAAGAATCAGAAAAGTTTGGTTAAACACTTCTAAACCAAATAGGTCAATGATCCCTGCTGCAGACCTGCAGTCCATTGTGCACCCCCCCAAGTTGAACTACACCTCAAAAGAACATCAAGCCAGAAGAGAACCCGAGCATTAATATGGCCAAAGGTACAAATATTTAACTGATTATTTGATGAATGAGAGATAACCAGGCCTTCATGCATCAAACTGAACTCATTAGATTTTAAAAAATTAAAAAATTAAAAAATTAAAAAAATCACACCACTAATGATCATCATACAACTCTGAATAGACTGGCTCCCTCCTCTAGGAACTAGGTTAATTAACCACACAATCTTGGATCAAACCTAAGAAAGAACATCAAGAGCAAAGAAACCCAAAAAGTTAAAGAGTAAACAAACAATGATATGTCTACTCAACTAGTGAAGGGGAATGGACAAAAGCACCCCAAAAAAAAAAAAAAAAAACACACACACACACAACCAAACCAAAATTTTCACAATTGGAAGATGTCCTGACCCTTGTAACACAACACATCTAGACCTGCAATTATGCAGAAGAATAAATAAAGGAAGAATTAGGATTTTACTAAATTATACATACAGTAAAAGAGTGAAGAAATTTTGGGAAATCAAAATCAAAATTCAAGGAAAAATTTTTGGAAGGAATAAAACCAAGCTTGAAAAGGCCACTAATGATCATCATGGGACTGACTGGGCTTGCTCTACATGGAACCTCTTAGCATTAGGTTAATGAACCCCAATATTGGATCAAACCTAGGAAGAATAAACAAAAAAGCAAAGAACAACCCACAAATTTAAGTCTAATCAAATATTAAATGAGTCTACTAATGAAGGGAAATTCAAAGGCCTGCTAAACCGATCCATGTTGTTCAACCAAGCTTGCTGATGAGTGATGAAGGACTAGAACCAAGCTTGCTGATGAGTGATGAAGGACTAGAACCAAGCTTGTAAACCTGTCGAGGTCTCGCTCAACCAAAGAAATCCGAAAGCTTGCTGCTGAAACCGAATCTGCGACCCGAACTACATCAAGTCATGACAGACAAAGCAACAATACATATTCGGAAAGATAAATTGAAAGCAACCGATCAATATAAATGCAAAAGTTCCAAAAAACCAAGCATAGGATAAACCGATCTATTCGCTCAACTAGAACAAATCCGGAGCCTTGAACTTGATATCAAATCCACGATCTGCGCTACATCAACATGACAAGACATACAGACGAGCGTACGTAACTACAAATAGACATCTTCGGCAACCGATCAAGACATAAACCAAAATTCATAGAGAACCACGCATAAGATAACCAAACACGAATTATCAAATCGATCCATGTCGTTCAACCAAAAGACATCCGAAAGCAGCAGGCTGAAATCGAATCCACGATCCAAACTACATCAAGTCATGATAGACATACCAACAATAAATAATCGGGAACAGAGACTTAAGCAACCGATCAATATAAATGCGAAATTTCCAGAAAATCAAGCACAGGATAACTAGACACGTATCGATCAAACCGATGGTTTTCGTTCAACAAGAACACATCCGAAGCCTTGAACTTGACTACAAATCCACGATCTGAGCTACATTAACATGGCAAGACATACAGACGAACATGAGTAACTAGAATTGGACTTCTTTGGCAGCCGATCAAGAGAGAAACCAAAATTTCCAGAAAATCAAAGCATAGGATAACAAAACACGAATTAATCAAACCGATCACTACAAATCTCAAACAGCTATCCTAAACCCCATGGAATATGAGAGAGATTTGAGAGACTGCAAAACATATATTAAGTTGAGAACGAGATGAAAGAAGGGAAGGATTGGGCCATTTATAGGTCTGAGACGCGTTTCAGATAAAGCAAACGTAAAAATCACGCACTGCTGGCATGTCGGTTAAGCGGGCAACAATTTTTTATTTTTATTTTTTGGAAAATAAGCGGTCAACAATTGTGGTCAGATTTTTTTCTTCGAGATTTAGCGACACACAAAAATTAAAAGAAAAAAGGTACAAATAAGTCTAACTATATAGGCATAGCAATTAAGTTAAGCTCCATAAATCTAGAAAAAAAAAATAACAGTTAACATTTGATTGGGTTGTCATATGTATATTTTATTTTATATTTTTTTATTATTATCATTTTCTTAATTTTATTTTTTGACGTGTCGGTTATTATATTTAAAAATAATATAATATTTTTTTTTCAAAAAAAATAATTTTTAAAATTTTATTTTAATAATTTCAAATAAAATAATTATTTTAAATTTTTTTAAAAAAAAAATCTCCATGGACTCTTCGTCTCCAGCTAGCCAGTCATAGAGACGAAGGAGACCGTCTCCATGGCTGGCCAGAGACGAGGCGGTCCTCACCGCTTCGTCTACGGGGCAGCCAGCTATGGGAACGAAGGATCCCCTTCGTCTTCGACTGGCCATGAAAACGGAAGGGGACCCTTTCGTCTCCGGCTAGCCACGGAGACGAAGGCCCGACCATGGAGACGAAGGGGTCCCCTTCGTCTCCGGCAAGACTGTTTTGTTTTTTTTTTTTTTTTAAATTACTATTTTATTTATTTTATTTTTTAAAAAATAATTATTTTATTTGAAATTATTAAAATATATTTAAAAAAATTATTTTTAAATATAGTACCCGACACGTCAGGAGATAACATTAGGAAAACATGGCATCTAGAAAGAGGGACAAATGCTTAGTAAGATAATAAAAATAATAAAATATACACATGACAACCCAATCAGCGCATACCTGTTGTTAACTTGCTAAAAATGCTAATGGCTATTTTTTCTAGGTTCATTGATAATTTGGAGCTTTTTCGAATTCAGTGACTTAATTGCTATCCACAAACACTTCAATGACATATTTGTACATTTTCCCTAAAATGAATCACCTTAAACTATTCCACTAATGGCATGTTTGGTTCATGGAATAGGTCAGGAATGTAATAACATTACTTTAAATAGACCTATTCCTTGTTTGGTTCGGTAATTTTGTCATGGGAATAACATTTCTAGGAATGAGCTATTACATTTGCAAGGGGAATAGTCATTCCTATGAGGGCCTTGGTATTAACTATTCACATGCTCTTGGGAATAGCTTTTATATCACAAATACCAAAAATACCATTTGCATATTATTTAATATTTATATTGAATAGATATAATGTATTATATAAATGTATATATTTAATTAATTAATTATATAAATGAAAGTCAAACCTGTACAATCATGGAATGCCTTGACAGGTTTTGTAAGACTTCCGACCAAAAAATAAATAAGCTTAAATCAAATACTCCCTTAGTCTCGAATTATGTGTCTCACTTTGGTTTTACACGGATTTTTAAGAAGCAATGAAAAGAATACAAGTTTTCCTATTTTGCCCCCAACATACCATGTGATGATTTGACCATTCTATCACTTTATACTCAACCCACTTGTACTTTTATTAAAGCAAATAACACATTTATTAAAACAAATAACTCATCTGTACTTTGCTTTTTCACCTCTACGAATCTGAGATTTCAAGATCATCATTCTCTCTCCTCTTTTACTCCTTCTTCCTCACCTCTACAAAAATGGAGTCCACCGCAAATCTAGCAAAATCTCTATGGTTTTTCTTCTTTATAGAATTGATAGAGGTCGATGCTTTCCTCTAGCTAGCATTAGGAGCTCTAAACCATTGACTAGAACCATGAGCAATGGCAATCTTCGATTCAATTGAAGCAAAATGTTAGCCTTTTTAACATCATCTAAGGGTTAGTTTTTGCAAAAATTGTTCTAATTTTTAAGATAATTTATACTCCACAGTAGTTGATTTTTTTAATCCCTAATCTATAGTAGTTGATTTTTTATTTTACTTTTACGGAGTGTTTGTTTTTTGTTGTTGTTGTTGTTGTTTTTTTTAAAAAAATATTCTAGAAAGAATATTTTCTTAGGTAAATGTGGATTATCACCTTGATCTTTGTTTTCACTCCCAATTTATATAGAAGAAGAATCAGATTTGGTGAAAAAATCGCGGTAATTTTTTGCGCCAAAAATTGATTTGACATTTTAACGATTAAAATATTGAGCATTCTTTATTTTACGCTTCAATAAAATGGCAGTATATTTACCTTTGCAAAAATAACTTCTTTTACTCTTTAGAAAACTCTTGGATACATATTTAGTTTTTTCTTTTTCTTAATGGAGGTTTTAGAAAAAGAAAATCATAATTATGTTCAAATATTCAAATCTGTTAAGAGAGTGCCTAATGATAAAAGAAAGATTATATTTGAAGCTTTATTGAATTGCAATGTTGAAGGAAAAGTAAGACATGGAACAATTAGAGATGTTGCAAGTATATACTCTATTTCTACAAGAACTGTTAGTTGAATATGGAGTAAGGGATTGATTGTGTTAAAAATGGTGTGCCTGTTGATACTTCTATGAACTTGGCAGGAAATGTTGGCAGAAAAAAGGATTCAGATTAGTCCTGATGAAGTTTTCAGAATTCCTTTGAATCGTCGTACAACAATTCGCTCAATGGCTATTGCTCTAAATATGTCAAAGACAAGTCTGCATAGAAAGGTTAAAGAAGGATCCTTGAAGTCACACTCAAATGCTATAAAGCCATTATTAATAGTGAAAATCGAAAGGTTAGAATACAATTTTGCATATCTATGATCAATTCAAATTCACCTCCACATAATCCATCTTTCATAGATATGTATGATCGTGTTCATATAGATGAAAAATGGTTCTTCCTCTCTAAAGCTTCTCAAAAATATTACATGTTGCCCGATGAAGATGAATCATACCGTACTTGTAAAAGTAAAGAGTTTATAGCCAAAGCGGTGTTTCTATGTGTTGTTGCCCGCCCACAATTTGATTCAGGGAGAAATGAAATGTTTGATGGATAAATTGGAATATTCTTATTTATTTATAAGGAGGCAGCTAAGCGTAGAAGTAAAAATCGAGAAGTTGGAACACCGGTAACTACGCCAATTGAATCAGTAAATAAATAAATTACTAGGAAATGTTTGATTGATTATGTACTGCCTGCAACACAGGAAAAATGGTCACTTAGTAGTTCAAAGTCTATATATATTCAACAAGATAATGCAAGGCCACATATTAGTGTAATTGATGTTGAATTTCTTGAGGCTGCCCAAAAAGATGGCTTTGACATTCGCTTAACATGTCAAACTCCAAACAGCTCGGACATGAATGTGCTAGATCTTATTTTTTTAGAGCTATTCAGTCTTTGCAATATGAAGAAGCCCCACATAATGTTGATGAACTTGCTGTTGCTACTCAAAAAGCTTTTGATGATATATCAATGGAAAGTCTTAGTAATTTTTTTTTTGACTCTACAACTATGCATTGTTAAAGTCATGAAAAAGTATGGAGGGAACAATTACAAGATTCCGCATATAAATAAGCAAAAGTTGGAACGAGAAGGTCGACTATCTACTACTGTCTCCTATGATTCAGAAGTTTTAAATGAAGCCATTTCAAGCCTTCAACATTAATGTTTGATGTACATTTTGTATTTTATGGTTATCATTACAAAAAGTAAAGAGTAGTATAGTTTGATGTACATTTTGTAGTCAATGTTTTATTTTGTGTATCTTTTTTTTTTTTTGAAAGTTATTAACTCTATTACATTGTAGTATCTGTTCATACATACTTTCTCAACCTATTGAAACACAAAGAGTCAACACCGCCTCCACTGAGGCTCGATCTCATGATCTCCCATAATTTGTGTTTATCTAGTATGGACTATGGAGTAATTGTAACTTGGAACTATGGTGATTAATGACTTAGTACTGTATTTTGTGCTTTTGTTGATGAGAATGACATGAGATCTCTGTTTGCTTTGAAGAAGTTAATATTATATGACTTGCAACCTTGCAGGGTGTTGATCTTCAAAGAAGTTGCTTTGATTAATGACTCAGTACCGTATTTGACACTATAATATTGCAGGTTGTAGACCTTTGAAGAAGTTACAAGTCTTATCCATTTCCTAGTGCTTTTTTATTTTATTTTACATTTATGACAGTTCACTAAGAGGATGTGGTTATTGAAGTTCTGCCTAGATTAGATACTCCATCATCTTTTCACCTTTTTGATGCTATTGTGAGCCATTGTGTTCCTGTTATTCTAAGTGACAAAGTCAAACTACCATATGAGGACAAAGTTGATTATAATGAGTTTTGTATCTTTATGTCACGTGAGGATTCAAAGAAAGAAGGGTACATAGTGAAGTAGCTAAGGAGCATTTCGAACTCAAGATGGGTTCAAATGTGGAGGTTGCTTAAAAACATCTCTCACCATTACGAGAGATTAATTTAAATTTCCCAAATGAACCCGTAGTCATATTTATAGAGTATTTCGTTTACAAGTGAGCACCGGTCAGTTACAATCAATAATCGATAACTATTTTTAAATCTTCATAATTAATCAAAAATGGAAGTTTGGTTTCGGTCGGTTATGTCGATTACCGAAAAATCAGATTTCATAACCCATTTAAAATCGATTCATCGAATAATCAAAATTTTGAAGGTCCATAACTGATTTACTCCGTATCAAATAATGAAAATTTTTTTACCGCAAATTTCCCAAGTGAACTTGGAGTCATATTTATGGAATATTTAGCTTACGGGTGAGTACAGATCAGTTACGATCAATAACGGTACAGAGTATTTTTAAATCTTCATAATTAATCAAAAATGGAAGTTTGGTTTTCGGTCGGTAATGTCGATTACCGAAAAATCGAATGTCATAACCCATTAAAAATCGATTCATCGAATAATCGAAATTTTGAATGTCTGTAACTGATTTATCAAATAACGAAAATTTGTTGACCGCAAATTTCCCAAGTGAACCGGGAGTCATATTTATGGAGTATTTAGCTTACGGGTGAGCACCGGCCAGTTACGATCAATAACCGATAACTCGGAGTATTTTTACATCTTCATAATTAATCAAAAATCGAAGTTTGATTTTCGGTCGATTATGTTGATTACCGAAAAATTGAATGTCATAACCCATTTAAAATCGATTCATCGAATAATCGAAATTTTGAATGTCCATAACTGATTTATCAATTAACGAAAATGTTTTGACCGCAAATTTCCCAAGTGAACCGGGAGTTATATTTATGGAGTATTTAGCTTACAAGTGAGCACCGGTCAGTTACGACGGTCAGTTACGATTTAAATCTTCATAAGTAATCAAAAGCAAAACCAAATTAACACTACCAAAAATGTGAACTTTACCAAATTCAACATTAAGTCGATTAAAACTTACCGAAAAAACATTTAACAGTTTAAAACAAAAGCCTGAGGGACCTTCTCATCTTTAAGAATAAATTGATGTTGTTTAAAAGCTTGCTTCATATTTTTTTTTTTTTTTTTTTTTTGAGAAGTAACAGCAGTAAAATATTTTTAAGAAAGTTATATTTAACACAAACAAAAAGATCTTCCACTATTGCTAAACATGAAATTCAGACAAATACTCACTTACAAGTGTGAAAGATAACTTAAATTATGAACCAATATAAGCAGGTACTCTGTATCTTTTTGCTATTTTCAGCTTTTGACGAAAGAGTAACAGAGTGCAAGACTAAGGCTCCGTTTGGAAAGCAGGAAAATGAGTTACGGAAAACGTTTTCTAGAAAATGAGTCATTTTCCAGAAAATGTTTTTCTTTCTGATGTTTGGCTACACAACGGAAAATTGTCTTTTTGTGTTTGGTTCATTTTTCACACCATTTTCTAGTAAAATGAGTAGGAAAATGAAAAGAAATGAATACTTCAGAATTTTAATTATTTGATACTTTTGATAGTATAAAATCCTTTTGTAAATAACACTCTTTTAATATATATATATATATATATATATATATATATATATATATATATATATATATATATATATATATATATATATATATATATATATATATATATATATATATATATATATATATATATATATATATATATATATATATATATATATATATATATATATATATATATATATATATATATATATATATATATATATATATATATATATATATATATATATATATACACACACACACACACACATATACATACACTAGTTTTTTACGCGCATGGCGCGATTGGGATAATGCCCAATATTTTTTTTTAATAAGTACTTTAAAGTATATCAAGGCAAGATTATATAAGAATTGTTCATGCATAGATAATTGAATGTTGAATTTGCATATTTAAATAAGTAATTCTAAGTTTACAAATAATGCAAGATAATATAGTCAATATTGATTATAATTGTCAATAAAATAATTGTATAGGTATGTTTGAAACCAAATACGGGACATAAGGGAGAGCAAAATAAAAATTAGGGCATAAAATATTAAATTTTTTATATACTAATATTGAAGAGCTAACTGCTCATTGCCAAACAAGGACATTGCGAGATAGTTTCCCACTTCAATTTGTTGTGTGATTTGAATATGATTGGATTAATTATATTTTTTTATTTTTAAAACAATTATTATTATTATTATTATTATTATTATTATTATTATTATTATTATTATTATATGTATACCCTTATGTCATTTATATATGTTAATCTAAACAGTTAATGTTTTCAAATATAATTTTACCAACCGTTGATATAATTCGTTGGTCAAATCCGCTAACATAATCCGAACGCTAACTCCTGATTATTAAACAAGGACATTGTGAGGTAGTTCTCACTTCAATTTATTGTGTGATTTGAATACTCTATTTGTCAACAAATCCCTCAAGTAGTACGTTAATATGATTGGCTTTATTAATTATATTTTTCTTTAATTTTTTCATGGTATTAATAAATTACTTGATAAATAAATATATAGCATTATTTTGTATTATAACTTTGATATTTAATTTAAAAAATAGTGCACAAAAAAGATAAAATTAAAATTAATGGTGACTGTCTATTATTTATTTGTGCACTATTTTTTAAAATTAAATATCAAAGTTATAATACAAAATAATGCTATATATTTATTTACCAAGTATTTTATTAATACCATGAAAAAATTAAAAAAATATATATAATTAATAAAGTCAATCATATTAACTACTTGAGGAATTTATTGACAAAGAGACTATTCAAATCACACAACAAATTGAAGTGAGAACTATCTCGTAATGTCCTTGTTTGACAATCAGCAGTTAGCGGTTAGCGTTAGCGGATTTGACCAGCGAATTATATCAATGGTTGGCAAAAAGATATTTGAAAAAATTAGCTGTTTAGATTAACATGTAAAATGACATAAGGGTATACATATACATATAATAATAATAATAATAATAATAATAATAATAATAATAATAATAATAATAATAATAATAATAATAATAATAATAATAATAATAATAATAATAATAATAATAATAATAATAATGGTTTAAAAAAAAAAAAAGAAAAAAAAAGTTAAGCCAATCATATAACTAATTGGTGGATTTATTGACAAAAAGAGTATTCAAATCACACAACAAATTGAAGTAGAAAACTATCTCGCAATGTCCTTGTTTGGCAATCAATAGTTAGCTCTTCAATATTAGTATATATTTAATATTTTATGCCCTAATTTTTATTTGTTCTCCCTTATGTCCCATATTTGGTTTCAACCATACCTATACAATTATTTTATTGACAATTATAATAAATCTTGACTATATTATCTTACATTTGTAAACTTAGAATTATCTATTTAAATACGCAAATTCAACATTCAATTATCAATTCATGAACAATTCCAATATAATTTTGTCTTGATATACATTTAAAGTACTTATTTAAAAAAAAATATTGGGCATTATCTCAATGGCGCAATGCACGTAAAAAACTATATATCTACTATACTAATAAGAGCCCAAGAGAGTTAGGCCTATAATCTACTATACTAATAAGAGCCCAAGAGAGTTAGGCCTATAATATAATGGGTAGAAAAAATGGCGGTCAAATTTTTTAATCAAATGGATGGCTCAGATTGATCAGATTTTAATTTTCTCTTAAGATTTCCTAATTTATCCTTAATGAATATGATTATCCGTTAACTTTTCCGTTAAATATTATCTTTTCCGTTAATTTCTATTAGTTCACCGTTAACTTACTCATTGATTTAAATAAAAAAGTCTTAGGTTCGAACCTCATCCCAATCAAAGTTAGCATAATTAGTACTCTATTTTACTCTTATTAAATTAAATAATAATTTAGTAGCTACAACAACAAAATAATGCATATGCATTTCTTTAATTCAGAATTATGTGTCTACAATGTTTTTATTCAAAAAAAGTTATTCATTATCAATAAATTAAATAAGAGAAATAATTTCATTAGTTATATGTTCTTTATTTTTCTCCAATATAATTTTTTTTTACATTCAAATTCATCAATTGATTATATTCGTTACATTGTCCAAACAATGTCTTTATTCCAAAAAAATTATTCATTATCAATAAATTAATTAAGAGAAATAATTTTATTAGTTATATTGTCTTTATATTTCTCCAATTTAAAAATTCTTTACATTCAAATTCATCAATTGATTATATTCACTACATTGTCTATTATCTTTTTTTGTGCACTATTTTTTAATTAAATATCAAAGTTATATACAAAATAATGCTATATGTTTATATACCAAGTATTTTATTAATACCATGAAAAAAATAAAATTAATAAAGTCAATCATATTAACTACTTGAGAGATTTGTTGACAAAGAGAGTATTCAAATCACACAACAAATTGAGGTGAGAACTACCTCGCAATGTCTTTGTTTGACAATCAGCAATTAGCGATTAGCGATTAGCGTTAGCAGATTTGACCAACGAATTATATCAATGGTGGTAAAAAGATATTTAAAAAAATTAGCTGCTTAGATTAACATGTAAAATGACTTAGGGGTATAATAATAATAATAATAATAATAATAATAATAATAATAATAATAATAATAATAATAATAATAATAATAATAATAACAACAACAACAACAACAACAACAATAATAATAATAATAATATAATAATAATAATAATAATAATAATAATAATAATAATAATAATAACAACAACTGTTTAAAAAAATAAAAATAAAAATAAAAATAAAAAATATAATTAAGCCAATCATATTAACTACTTGGGGGATTTATTGACAAAAAAAATATTAAAATCACACAACAAATTGAAGTAGGAGACTACTTCGCAATGCCATTGTTTGGCAATCAATAATTAGCTTTCAATATTAGTATATATTTAATATTTTATGCCCTAATTTTTATTTGCTCTCTCTTCTGTCCCGTATTTGGTTTCAACCACACCTATACAATTATTTTATTGACAATTATAATCAATCTTGACTATATTATCTTGCATTTGTAAACTTAGAATTATCTATTTAAATATACAAATTCAACATTCAATTATCTATGTATGAACAATTCCAATATAATCTTGACTTGATATACTTTAAAGTACTTATTTAAAAAAAAAACATTGGGTATTATCCCAATCGCGCAATGCTCGTAAAAAACTAGTATATACTAATAAGAGCCAAGAGAGCTAGTCATATAATAGGTAGAAAAAATGGCGATTAAATTTTTTAATCAAATGAATGGCTCTAATTGATCAGATTTTAATTTTTCCATAAGATTTCCTAATTTATCCTTAATGAATATGATTATCCGTTAACTTTTCCGTTAAATATTATCTTTTTCGTTAATTTATGTTAGTTCACCGTTAACTTATTCATTGATTTCAATAGAAAATGTCTTAGGTTCGAACCACATCCCAATCAAAGTTGGCATAATTAGTATTCTATTTTACTCTTATTAAATTAAATAGTAATAATAATTTAGTAGCTACAACAAAAAATAATACATACATATGCATTTCTTTAATTTAGAATTATGTGTCTACAATGTCTTTATTCAAAAAAAATTATTCATTATCAATAAATTAAATAAGAGAAATAATTTCATTAGTTATATTGTATTTATTTTCTATTTTACTCTTATTAAATTAAATAGTAATAATAATTTAGTAGCTTCAACAAAAAATAATACATACATATGCATTTCTTTAATTTAGAATTATGTGTTTACAATGTCTTTATTCAAAAAAATTATTCATTTTATCAATTAATTAAATAAGAGAAATAATTTCATTAGTTATATTGTATTTATTTTTCTCCAATATAAAAATTCTTTACATTCAAATTCATCCATTGATGATATTTGTTACATTGTCCCTACAATGTCTTTATTAAAAAAAAATATTTATTATCAATAAATTAATTAAGAGAAATAATTTTATTAGTTATATTGTCTTTATATTTTTCCAATGTACAAATTTTTTACATTCAAATTCATCAATTGATTATATTCACTACATTGTCTATTATTTTTTTTTTGTGCACTATATTTTAATTAAATATCAAAGTTATAATACAAAATAATGCTATATATTTAATTACCAAGTATTTTATTAATACCATGAAAAAATTTAAAAAAATATAATTAATAAAGCCAATCATATTAACTACTTGAGGGATTTGTTGACAAAGAAAGTATTCAAATCACACAATAAATTGAAGTGAGAACTACCTCGCAATGTCCTTGTTTGACAATCAGCAGTTAGCGGATTATATTAGCGAATTTGACCAGCGAATTATATCAACGGTTGGTAAAAAGATATTTGAAAAATTAGCTGTTTAGATTAACATGTAAAATGACCTAAGGGAGTAAGTGTATATATATATATATATATATATATATATATATATATATATATATATATATATATATATATATATATATATATATATATATATATATAATAATAATAATAATAATAATAATAATAATTGTTTTTAAAAAATAAAAAATAAAAAGTATAATTAAGCCAATCATATTAACTACTTGGGGGATTTATTGACAAAAAGAGTATTCATATTACACAACAAATTGAAGTGGGAAACTGTCTCGCAATATCCTTGTTTGGTAATCAGCAGTTAGCTCTTCAATATTAGTATACATTTAATATTTTATGCCCTAATTTTTATTTGCTCTCTCTTATGTCCCGTATTTGGTTTCAACCATACGTCCATACTTATACAATTATTTTATTGACAATTATAATCAATCTTGACTATATTATCTTGCATTTGTAGTTAAAAAAAAATCTTGCATTTGTAAACTTAGAATTGCATATTTAAATGCGTAAATTTAACATTCAATTATCTATGCATGAATCATGCACAAGAGATGTTTGGTGTAGTGTAATGAAATCTGTGTTATTTCTAATGAACGTAATAATCATGGCTATGTTTTAACTTTTAATCAGAGTTTGAAGAAAACGCAATAATGACTATGCGAAGTAATATGTGGAACATAATAACTAATGGTTACAAAAAGCTACAAGTTCGTTTATTAAAAATGTAAAGTTGCTATCAGATGCGGGGATAACTTAGTTGGGAGAGCGTTAGATTGAAGATCTGAAGGTCACGTGTTTGATCCACGTTCATTGCAACATTGCTTCAAGATAGTTATTAAATGTAAACCATGCATTTATAAGTTAAAATCATTTTCAACAGACAAGCCAAGGAAGTATTCCATTGTTGTCTAGTGGTTAGGATATTTGTTTTCACTTAGGAGACCTGAGTTTGATTCCTGGTGATGGAAGATTGTGTGTGTTTTTTAGTTTAGTGAAGATTTCGATTTCGATTACACAATTTAGTTCAATATTGGTTAGAAGTTTTTGTAATCCACTCTTCTACTTTTTTATCTTCACTTTTTGTTTGGTTTCATTGCTTGACTTCTTTTGTCCTTTTAGTTTGCTTTTGTTCTCTCTCTAGGTATACCTCGTGTAATTGTTTAGCCGTCTCGGGTTTTCTTCCCATGCTTTTCTCGCCTGGATGCCATGTTGCCAAATTTGTTGTCATCAATGATGGTGTGGTACCTTGCTTCAATTTCTTGGAGAAGATCTCATTGGAATAAACTGCCATTTTGTATGTAAATGGTGGAAATGGCCTTCATCCTCATAAAAGCGGGGTGATGGTGAGTGTATGGGTGTGTTATGTCGTCGTTAGGGGATTGGAGGTTATGGCACGCAATATGCAATCACAAGAAACTAGGCACTAGCATAAGGAAATCAACAATAAGCTAAGCAAATTATAACGAGATAGAGGCTACGGTAACTAAACAAAGTAACACAAACACATATTAACAAGATATAAACACTAAACAAAGAAATATGACTCAAGCTAGGGAGAATTATCTTTTAGATGCAAAACACAATCTAAGGATTGGGGGAAATCACACAACCAAGGAATTAAGGGGATGGATGTAGGAATCCTAGTCTATACGTCACTCACGTGTGCAAATTAACAAGGATTAGAACAAGGAATTGCCCCACTCTCGTGGTGAATCAACTCCAAGTTCTTCAGGAACACAAAGCATCAACAACCCCCAACTTCCCCCATTTTCATAGGAAAAATCGGGTTTATGCAAGGAGTGGCTTGGAATCTTTACCCAACTCTCATTGAGGCCAAAAATCCTCCCAAACATGTTAATGAATGTTGTACACCAAGCATTAACAAAATACAAACACAAATTTTTCATAAACTCAAGAACCCTAGGTAGGCAAAAATCCCCTTTATGTAATAATCACAAACTAAGCATCAAGATAGGTAATACAACCCTAACTCAAGTCCATAAACTAACTACTCATGATTAAATAGCATAAAGAAGACAAAAAACATAAGTAATAAACATAAATCTTGCAAATAAAGAGATAAGGGAAATGAAACTTCTCTAGTGAAATGGATGATAAATCTTGAAATCCAAGTGTTGAATCCTTGATTACAAGCTTGAAATATGTTGTGGAACCTAAATCTAAGCCTAATCTAACACTAAAATATGAAAGGAAGTGAAAGGAAATGTTTAGGGTTGGAACAAGGTTCAAAACCGAGTTGAAATGACACAAAAACGCGCCTAAATAGAGCAGAGCACAGTGGGACGCCCTCAGGGATGGGCGTACGCCAGGGGATACGATTTATTCTAGTGTTCACTGGAATGGACGTACGGGCATACGCAAGGGGGTACGCCACCTGCTTCTTTTTTGAGATCTTGGATGGGATGATGGATGGGCGTACGCAAGGCAGTACGATACTCCTGAAAGTTCCTTAGTGCATTCCAAACTCTTTGATTGATCTCTTGGTCTAAGAATTGCTAGGATCTTTTCAAAAATCATTGAATTCCACACTTGTTGTGAATGATTGCACCTTGAAATAAAACCAACATAAATTAGTCACAATTCACACAAGTTTTTAGGTAATTCATAAATAAAATCGGTTCAAGAAGGGGTAAAAATATAGACAAAAATGTACTTATCAACTCTCCCACACTTAAACATTTGCTTGTCCTCAAGCAAAGACAATAAATAAATCACCAACCTAGCAATGAAATTGATCACACTCCCACTTTGCACAACCTATCAAACCACAATCCAACTTGTTGCAACACAACTTGTTTCAAGAATCATTTTTGCATTCCACACAAGTTTCATTCTCAAGCTAATAACCAAGCACCAAAATTATTAAAGTACGTGAGGATCAAGTGTGCACAAATACTAAGTTGAGATTATGCAAAACTTGGCTTTGAATGAGATTCCATAGGCTTGCCCTTCATACTCTCACTATTTCAACTCCAAGATTGCATGCTAAGATCAAGTAGGACTTTTATTTGGCTTGTAATGGGGCTATGGGTGAAAGGTTAACAAAGAAGGGGTAAGGAAAATAAACAAAGGAGAGAACTTCACATCTATTCACAATTGAGACTAGAAGAGATATGACATTTATAAACTAAGGAGCAATTTACAAAGGAACACAAAACAACACTCTAAAGATGTGGGGATACGGTTGAGTACAACTTTCAACACCAAGCTTCAAACATTTATTCTTCTTCCTTTTCTTTTCATTTTTCTCATTTCATCACTTTTTAAACACTTTTTTTCTCAATTTTCTCATCATTTTTTTTCAAAACAATAAACAAACTTATTCCCATGAACCAATACCCCTTCACTTAGACAAAATTATCAAGAGGATTGCTAACAAAATAAGCTCCAATAAAGATCTCTTCAAAGAAAAAGAATAAATGCTCTATTCTCTCAAGGGTGGAGGGAAACATTTTGGCTAAGGCTTGAGGGTTAAATGATGGGGGTTAACACAAGGAAAAGCAATCACAATGTAGGGACAAGTGCTTAACACTTATTAAACAAACAAAAGGCTCAATGGGGACAACTAGGGGTAAAACATGTGTAAAGGGTATGCTTGAAAGGCTCGTGCTAAACAAAAATGGCCTAAATCATTTCTAAACATGCAAATCTTAGACTTCACTTAGGGAGTAATGAGGCAAGTTCTAGCAAAACAACCATGACCGGAATCTCACATAAGCCTTCACTAGCAATGCATAACACAAAAGATCAAGAATTTATTCAATTATTAAGTGGTTAACAAGGCTATTGGCAAGAGAATAGATCAATCATGTATTACCCCTTGGCTCATCAATCACAAGTTGAATTGCAACAAGTTCCACCAAAACAAACCACAAACCAACAAAGAGGGAGTAATCACACTTCAAGCAAGAGAAGGCAATTTACCAAACATTATGCACAAAGAGTCATCCAAGCAAAGTTTCAAAAAGTTCAATTTTTTTTAGAAAACACCCAAATTATCCCTTCCCCCACACTTAAAGGCTACATCGTCCTCGATGTGAAAGAAAATAAAGCACAAGGGGGGAAATTGTAACACCCCGTGTTACGGACTTTAATCCCGGATTAATTATTTAATTAATTCCGTTAATAATAATTAAAAAGGATTTAATTTGGTTAGGATTCCCTCTAATTAATTAATGTGGTCCACCGTGGACCCTTGCCTAAACTAGAGTCTTAAGCCTATTAGGGATAAAGAGAGTAAACCTTTTACTAGTCAGATTCTAATTAGGAATCCTAGATCTATATATTTGTTAGGGATAAAGAAAGTAGGCCTTTACTATTCATATTCTGATTAGGATTCCTGATTCTATAAATAGGGGGTTAGAAAGCAATTAGAACCCTTACCACCCATAATTATATTACACGAAATTATTCCCAAAAGATTCCCCACCCACCAAGCCTAGGGAGATCAATCGGATGGAAATCTTAGGGAAGAACCTTAATAGCCAAGGGAGGATTAATTAAGGCTAAGAGGTAACCCATGTCTCGACAAAACCTATTTTCCTTGTTATATCTTATTCATTGGCTCCTTTGGTATATGATTTTGTGCTTGAGTCTTGATAGAACTTTGCCTAGGGTTTATATTGTGTTTATGTGATAATCTTGATGTTTATGTGATAATCTTGATGCTATTGATACTATGATGAATTATATGAATGATCTTGTATTTTGATTATGTCTAGAGCCCTAGGGTTATATTGTGAATTTTGTATTATGATGTTCTTGGTATATTTGGGTGGGATTATGCATGATCGGGTGTTGAGTCTAGCCTAGGACTTGTGTTTAGGACTTTGCATATAGATTCTTGATGTTCATGTGGTTCTGGATGTTCCTGAACCGTTATATAATTTATGTTGGGTCTTGGTATGTTTAGAAATCGTGTTAGGATGTATTTGGTGTGATTATTGGTTTAATTCTGTTAATTGAATACATGGTATTGTAGTTATGTGCTTGAATGTGTTTGGACTTGGTTTTGGGTTCCACAAGAGATCCCGGGACCAAAAGTTGCCTGTGTATCAGTGAGGGGGGGGGGGGTAGGTGGGGGGACCGACCACCCGCCACCTACCCGCTGCCCGTAACATTGTTCCAGCGGACAGTGGTCTACCCGCGGGCACCCGTTGGAATAGTGTATGACCGCCGGCGGGTGGTCCTCCACCCGCTACCTACCCGCTGGAATTCGGTCGAGTGTCGTGATGTTTTCCCCCGTTTGATGTTTTCCTGTGTCCCGTTGTGTCCCGTTGTAACCCGTTGGTCGTGTATGAGTTCCCGTTTGGTGTTTTAGGCATCGTTCTAGGATTTTATGTGTGATACGTGTCGTTGTTGTTGTGTCTTGCTTGTTATGTGATTATGTGTTGGTTGATTAAATGATGATGAGTATCGTGGTCATTGCGCAATGACCCGTGTGACTGATGATGATGATGATGAGATTGTGATTGGTGGAAAAGAATTGTTGGTGGTTGGCACCACTTGTGCCCGGTCATTATACTAAAGGTACAGGCCATAGCGGTGATTGTGTTAAAGGCACACACCCACCTTAGACTTGCTTGCCGTTGAGCATGGGTCAGGTTATGAGTGCTGCGGTGTCATGTTAGAGCTATATGCGCTAACCCCTTGATATTGGCACTAGAGGTGCGGATCATTGAATGGCACTGCGGCACCATCTTGATATGTTGGTGGTTGAAAGGTGGTTTGTCGGTGGAGGCATGTAGTTGCCCGGAGGCATAAGGGGTGGGGATATAAGGGTGGCCTGGAGGTATAGGTTGGAATTGATATAAGGACGAGGGGAGCTATAAGGTTGGAGGATGAATTGTGTGCTTTGATGAATACTTGTTAATTGATTGTCTTGAATGCCTTCGTTGCCTGAAATTGCTATTTTATATGCTTATCTGTCTAGTATGCCTTGTATTACGTTCTTAGGATACACGTTAGTATTTATGATTATTTTATACTGTTGAGGTGTTAACGTGTCTTGAGTCTTGATCTTGGATTTAAATTAGAGTATCGTAAGTATATATGTATTCCAGTTTCAAAATGAGTTTCTTATATCTACCTATATTGTATTTAACACGTTGGAGTGGGTTACCAACATTATTCGCTGACGGTTGTTACACCGAATGTTTTTCAGGGATAGTGAGTAGCTTCGGAGCGCGCTAGTGGATTCGTGGACTTAGTTTAGATAGTTCTAACCTGGATGAGATGGCATGTGTGCCTTGATTTGTATTTGGGTATTAGTTATGGTTTATGCTTTGTTAGTTAGTTTAGCCTGTGCATCTGAGTTCTCCAGCTCAGATGTGGCATAGCACCCCGACTACTATGTCTAGGTTATGGCATGCTGTTGGTCCCAAAAGAGGTAAGGTGAAAGTCTAAAGGGGGGGGGGGGGGGGGGTGAATAGACTTTCAAGCTTTTTTGCACAGCACAACAATTGCTAAGACAGAGATAAACCAAAACTCATAACTAGATTGTTAGAGAATGGTGCACAGCGGAAATAAATAAACATAAAGTGTGTGTGAGATTGTGTGAGCAGTATATCTTCGTGAGAGCATATATGTAAAGAGCGGTATGTAAAGAAAGCAGTAAAGAACACAAGACAATTATAGTGGTTCGCTAGGTGGTGTAATCCTCCTACTCCACTTGCTCTTTTCTCCAAGAGCCAATTCACTATATTTACCACTCCTTGGTTCCAAGATACAATGAATTTCCGTGATCTAGTGCTTTGATCACAAAGCCCGCACTAATCACGCCCAGTGAC